CTCGTGCAGTGGCCCTACACACTTCATCTGTCGCCTGCAAAGTGACAATTATACAACTTTCAGGCGTTGATCATCCACTCAGACATGTGTTTATGTACGACCTTGGGAACTTGGACTTTTGGCCGAGATCTTTCTTTATAATTTAAGTTTCAGTAAGGACCCCAATCGTGACGTCATCACATGCTGAGTCCGTAGGTTTTCCAGCAGGACTCAGCTATTGATCTTTTTTTTTTTTCATGTTACCAAAGTTGACTTGCGGTCTAGGTAGTTTCCTTTCCTCATCTTTGCTCATCACAGCCAGGATTAGTTTTGATTTTTCTTCTTCTTCTTCTTCTTTTGGTTTGGGGGGGGGGGGGAGTTAATATATTGTGTATGCCAAAACGATTATTCTATTCAAGTAGCCTTTGCAGAAACAACTGTAACGCAGACTTATGAACATATGCTCATTTTGGTGATATATTGAATTGCACGATCAGTTGGCAACATGAAAGAGTAATAACGTATATGTAAATATATATTAAAATCATAAGAGCAACATTATATTGATTTATTAATTTTCAAAGGTATTATCATAATGTGATAGCAATCCTCGGTGATGTTCTGAGCCTATTTTTGTGAACAGTAAAGAGTTAAACTCCGGATGATTTTCCAATGTGACACATCGAGAGAATAAACAATTTCCACTGTCTATTAATAATGTTTACACTTCAATGTGCACTACAAATGATCACACGTAGAGAACTAATGCTTTTACAATAAAAACACGGACCATCTGCAATGAAAGCTATTTATAAAGAGCCTCCGGTGGTTCAGAGGTGGACATGTGGACATATTTATAACTCTAAAGTCTTAGGTTTGATTCCTGTAGTGGACATAGTGCAGATAACCCATTGTGCAGCTTTGCGGTTAACCAAACCCAAGCAAATAAACTTACACAGAACATAATGAACCCCGATCCTTTTTCACACAGCCCGTTAAAGAAAAATATTAAAATTTAAAAACAGCAACATTATTTCAACCATAAATACAGAGAGGTAAAGAACTGTTGATATTTTGTTGAACTGACAAGCCCATTTATTTCTTAGTTACTTACAGTTAGAGAATAGATTTGGTGACTAACGTTGCTACACCACGCAACTTCTGCAACTAATGTGTTCTCGGCCCATATACTGACTTCATCAGGACCAGCTATTGTTACAGTCAACTTCTGGTCATTTATCCGAACTACGCTGTGGAAGTAGGTGTCGCTCTTGACGCCCATAATGTTCTCACCGTACACAGAGAATATATAGGTCACTCCTGGTTCAAGCTAGAGAGTAGAAACAAAGCCTTTAGTCGCATATTGTAAAACAAATAAACAAAAAGTTATAAAATATGAAAAAGGAAGAAGAAGGAAGTAAAATAAAAGTAATATATTAATTTTTCTGGAATCTGCAAACGTACATATTGCAAAGTCCACGAAAAACAACGTGCTACAAGATGTCACTTAGATTGAGAGTTTCAAGACATAATGTTTATAATTGTTGCAAACTAACGCAAGGTTAGAGTTTTCATAATACAAGACTGTTTCTAAGAGTTAGTGTTTAGAATATTTGTGTTCGCAGACACACAGTTATTGTCTACTACAATTTAGTAAGTTGTTCGTGTTCAAGCATCAGTGTACTTTCGACAATAGCTAACTAGCATGAGTTAATGTTCAGAGGGCAATACTACAGTATGCTATTAACGAGAAAGTAGAGGAGTGTTCAGAAGATATAGCACTACAAGGTGAATTTCACTACCTAGCACGTGAGTTTGTGCTGACAAGTTGTAACTGTACTATGTCATTAACTAAAACGTGGTTTCGTGTTCGATTAACTT